GGCGTATTGAAATTCTTCAAGCAATAGTGCCCAACGTGCCACCCTAACGCACAAATCTCTCTTCTCCTTGGTCATCGTGAACGCTTTGCAATCGGTGACTATTTTAAATGGAATGCCCAATAGATACACCCGGAACCTGCGCAATGAACGGACGATAGCCAAAACCTCCAGCTCGTAACTTGGATACTTTTCCTCCGCTTGAGTCGTCTTACCGCTGGCAAAATATATTGGATGCATCAGTCCGTCGTCCGCAACTTCATGCAATAGTATCGCTCCATACCCGTCTTTAGAGGCGTCCGTGTGAAGTTCAGTCCTAGCTCCTGTTCTATATAGGCTTAGTACTAGTCGGCTGGTCAAGTACGTCTTCAGTTCATCCATAGCATGCACCTCAGCATCATCGAATTTAAAAGTAACATTTGTTCTCAACAGATTGGATAGGGGACGCGCTATTCGTGAATAGTCTGTAATAAACTTTCTAAAGTAGACTGTTAAGCCTAGGAAGGCTTGTACTTGTCGAACATTTGCTGGCTTAGGAAAATGCTTTACGGCTTCGATCTTCGTCTCAGACGGCTTCACCATTCCGTCTTCAATGATGTGGCCCAAAAACTCGACGCGTCTTGTAAGAAACTGGCATTTCTCCAGATTGATATCGAGTCCTGCTTTCGATGCAATGCCTAACACTCGTTTCAGCCGCTCTAAACCGTCGACGTAGTCCGCAGAGATGACTATTAGGTCATCCATGTATGTCAGCACGATTCCCTCACGGATGGCGTCACGAAAAACAGCGTTTATATACCTCTGGAACACCGGTGGAGAGTTGCAGAGTCCAAACGGCACGCGCAAAAACCCAAACTGCCCATCTGGCACAACGAAGGTGGTGTATTTTACGCTAGCGTCTTCGACCCTTACATGGAAGAACCCATTCCTCAGGTCCAAGGTACTGAACATCTTTGCGCCCTGGAGTCGATCTAGCTGATCTTCGATCAAGGGCAGCGAGAATCGATCCCTAACGATTTTTCTGTTTAAAAGCCTGTAATCGACACAAAGCCGATGTGAACCATTCTTCTTTTTGGTAAGTACCACGGGATTGGCGTAGTCGGATGAAGATGGTCTAACTATTCCCTGGCCATCCCACTCCGCAACCTGCTTGTTGACTATATCTCTTTCAAGAGGCGACAGTCGCCTCGCCTTTTGATACACGGGCTCATTGTCCTTGAGCACAAGCCTCATGCTAACCGTCGTTTCGATCCTCTTTCTAGGCTGATACTCGGTAACTAGCTTTCGAACCTCCGCCTTCATGTCGTCGTTCTCGATGTAAGACAATCTCATCCCTTCTTTACTATCCTCTTCGCATAAATTGATTTGCATAATTTCAGCTACCTCGTCATCTTCGTCTGCATCAATGCAAATGAGCCCTTTCTTCGCATGAAAGTTCCTCTTCTCCAGAAAATCTGTTCCAATAAGAAGGCGATGGCTTGACAAGCTATCGGAAATAACGCAAATTCGTATTGGAAACAGACGCCCATCTATTTGTATTTTAGTATCAAACTCCCCAATTCACGATAACTCGAGCAAAAATTGAGATATCTCAACGAAATTTGGTATGTAGGTTTCCGTTAATCCAAGGTAGGTTGGTATTGAAAATGGGCGAAATCGGACTGTAACCACGCCCACTTCCCATATAACGGTAATTTTCAGAAATACGAAAACTGCGATATTTTAGTAACTACTGGAGATTATTCACTCAAAATTGATATTTACAATAAGTTTTAGACAAAAATAAGAATATTATAAATTTTTGGAACAGTTATTTTATAATTTATTTCATACAATTGAATTAATTAATAAAAGTCATCTGTAATATAACACTGTTCAACAGAAGTTTGGCAGAGTAACACTGGTCTATTTCTGAAAGTAGTAATCATGTTGATAATTTTTAGAGTGAAAAGTTGCCAAGTTCATTTTTAGAAAATTTACAGGGGACAAAAAAAAATTTTTTAAACCAATTCCTTTAAGAATTTTGCAGAATGTTCCGTTGCAAATGAAAAGATTTCGAGTTTTTTGTGAGCCTATCGATTTTTCTGTGCCTCTTTCAGACTTAGTAAATTTGCCTTTAATTAGGGTTGCCAGACGGACTGCTTTTGGAAGTAAACGTATTCCTTTTTATTGCAATGTACTCCATTGTACTCCCAAAAAAAAATATCTGGAAATAAACTCCTTTATTAGCTTTGTACTTCTTTATAGATTTTGCGAAAAAGTAGTTTATTGTTAATTATCCACAGATTTTACTTCAATTTTATTAATTTGTTTTTAAATTTTAACCTTCATTTGGGTTTACCGGCGGTAAACACTTTGGGAGAAAAGCGCAAGTCTTCGTCGGTTACTTTATTACATATCTTCTGTAACCATAGGCTAATTTCCCCCATTTGGGTCCTTTATACTCCGTCTTTTGTCCAACATAAGGCCTCATACTCAGCAATCGAAAAGACTCGAAACCTGAAAAAGAGGTTCGTGCCGCATGTACTTATCTCCCAAAGCTGGCAAATGCAAAATAGGATTCAAATTTTAAAACCAATTAATAAAATTAAAGTAAAATGTAACCTTAACTAGCAACTACAACACAAAGTTAACAAACAAAAAACACAAAATCTATAAAGAACCCTTTTATTTTTCAAAAAACCTGTGCGACAGTTATTATTTTGCGCGCTGTACTTTGCCATTCATATTGTGGCAAACACTACTTAGTAACTAAAGTTAAGTGTGATCGTGAAAAGGTGTAAGCATAGCCTTAGGGGCAGGGCGCTCGGGTATAATAATCAGAAAAATATTAAATTAATTATACGGCTTAAATTAAAAAAATGGTCATACATTCAGGAAGAGTCTGGAATTCTTTTGTAGTTTTTAGTTTTTTAGTTGGGGAAACTTTCCTATAAGGGCGGTCATTGAGAACTGAATTCTACGGAAAAATACTGTGGACGCAAATGAAAATTGTGACTTTTGGCAATTTTTCTAAGGGGTCCGCAGGGGCCCTAGGTGGACGGGAGCAACATTTTTGTCAATGGCGGTTCATGCCCTCTCCAAAAAGATCACCATGGCGCATATTCATACAAATATTTAGTATTCAACTAAGTCGAAACTATTCTAAGTCACAACTAAAGCTATTCATAGTCGCCTTAGTTTCGACTTTTCTAGGGAGAAGTATTTTATTAAATTAAGGGAAAACGGAAATATGTAAAAATTAAGTTGGTAGAGGGTGATTTTGATAATATTGAATAATCTCCAATTAAAATTTACAAAGATCGATCCATTTTAATCGGAAGATGAAATTAAATGCGTATTACAATTCGAATAAAGCTACATCACAATTTTATAATTGGAATAATTTAGATAAATTCTCAAATAATAAGTCAGTTTCACGCAAGTTCTTTTAAAGTAAATTTGTGCATAACATTTAGATATCTACTATTTGTATGTTTCACAGCATGCTTTCGATAAACATCGACTTCACATCACTGCGGTTGTTCTGGCTATTTCACACAATTAACAAGAAAATGATACCTTATTCTTTTGCATAATCATGCAATGAAAATAAAAATTACATAAACGGATGATCAAACTTGACATTATTTAATAAAAATGTAATTTTTCCAAAACATCGTAAAGAAAAATCGATACATTTTCACCCTCGTTTTGCTATATCGTAAACTAAGTCGAAACTACTTAGTAGAAGTCTGAAATGCGACTATGAATAGAAATAAATTTTAAGTTGGTACTTAAATTTAAGTTGCAACTTTGTTAGTTTCGACTTAGTTGCTGGACTATGAATACGCGCCCATTTCTTTAACAATCGTCCCTATTGGAAAGCCAACCAATATAGTTATTTATTTTTCACACTTATTGTTGCTTTGAAAAAGATTTCTAAGATATCTTTGTTTGTTTGTACCTAATTTATGGTAATTTGTAACAATAAATTGCAGAAAAAAAAATTTACTCCTTTTTTATGTCATGTACTGCTTCTTTTCTATCGAAAATATAAATGTACTCCTTTCTCCGTTTCAAAATCTGGCAACCCTACCTTTAATTGAATATAAACGGGAAGAAATAAAACAAGCACTTTACCTTGCTTCCTATATCCAAATATGAGATTTCACAAAAAGTGGACTTAGCAACTTTTCACTTAAAGCTACCGATATTTTAATAGGTCTTTCTTTGTAGGACTTTCTTTTCGCTGGCAACTACGCTTCAAAAAATGTTTAGATATTCACAATAATAGTTAGATTAAAAAATAAAAGTCCGGGAATAAAATAGGCACTGAATCGGGTTTCGATACAAGTACATTCTTCCGATACCTACTCAGTACTCGGTTCAAAAGTATCGATACCAAAATTACTTGGTATCGGATGAAAAGTATCAAGTATATACTTGAATTTACTTGTATCGTTTTATCCCTATTTGTGCATGTTAATACAATGCGAAGCTGTCACGTAAAGCGAAGCAAAAGTTTTATGTGGTATCAGGTTGAGTGAACGATGTCGATGTTTTTCACTTTTGTAGTCGATGTATGGTCCAGTAAAACATCGATATACTTGGACGAAACATCGATGTTTTGAAATTATCGATGCATTGTTTGCATCTCAGTATATCCAGTAAAAAAACTGTGGTGAAGTCCTTTATGGGGATAAAGTTTCCAGAGGTGAAATTTTAGGTAGCACACAATTTCTTACACGCATGGTTGCTTTTCAGCACTCATGAAAGAAACTTAAGAAATATTTGAAAAAAAAGTTCATATAGTACATTAATTTTGAAAGAAATACCATATAATGTATGTACTCTGGTTAATAATATCAAAAAATGTATTAGAACCACCGTTTAATGTTATATTTGATACAAATTAATATTGCTGCCCCGAACGCTCTGCGCCTTGCCACTGAATAATAGATTTACTTAAAATTACATCCCTGGTCCTTGTTCTTTCTGTATCGCATCGTGGTGAATTCACATTTCTCAGAAATTTGACAACAAAACAAAACAAAGCAAGTATTTTATTTGCTAATTTTTGCGATTTCTATTGTTTAATGTAAATTTGTCTTTTTAGGATATGTCGAGCCAACAAAGAAGGCACAGTTGGAAAATTTAGTAATTAGTATTGAAGTAGCTGGCATATTTGGAAAATTATGCCGATAAACAGGATGGAATTTGGTAAAGTAAGTGC